AACTTGAATTGGCTGTAGCTCCTTTACTTCTTCCCCTGTTTTAAATCATTTCCATTTTATCAGAAGCGCATTTTTCCCCCTCTAAGTAGGACACATTTAAATATCATTTATTGCCTTTCATGTAAGTAAACAGCTTGTGTAAAAGATTTAATATTTAAATATTGGATACTCTTATAAACCTTCTGATCCTTGGTTTCTCTTTTCTCTCAGAGTCTCTTACAATATCAGTAAGAAAGAAATTGATGCTAATATTTGGTGCTAAGTAAAAATGTACATGTACTCCAGTCTGTTTCACAGACAGGAAACATAGATGGTCCTTAAGAGGGTAGTGTCACTTAAAAAGTCTTTTACACCTATATTCATAATAGCAAAAGGATAGAAACAATCTAAGAGCCCGTTGTGGGCACTTAGAATGAGTGTATGTATGAAACAAAATGTGATACACACTTACAATGGAATACTTGTTAAATGCTGTCTAGTCATCCCGACTCATAGCAACCCTTTATAGAGTTTCCGAGAAGTGATTGGTGAGTTTGAATCACTGACCTTATGGTTAGCAGTTCAGTGCTTATCTGATAGTGCTACATCATAACTCCAGTGGAATACTACTCAGCCGTAAACAGAAAAATGAAGCCCATCAGAGACATTGTACTGAATGAAATAAGTCAATCACAAAAGGATAAATGCTGTGTGATCTCAATTCTGTTAGTAGCCCTTTCCTAGGGGCAGGGGCAGGGACTCATTCCTTAGGAAACAGCAAGTTTATGTCTGTGGTGATGGGAAAATTGTATCCTTTAAGGATAACGGTTACATAACTTAACTGGTATCTCTAAGCTTTAAACCAGAAAAAGGGCAAAAAGGCAAATGTGTTATAACCTTATAATAGCAACAGTACTTCCCCCCCTCAAAAAAATATATAAATATATAAAATGGAATTGCTGATACTAGGGTACAACCAAACACCTCATGGGATTAGTTCTCTTTGTTCAAAGGCTTTGGGTCATGGATTTCTGCGGACTGTCCAGCCCACTACTGGTTTTGAGTTTCTGATCTACCCCTTAGTTCTGTGACAAGTGCTTGGCGTCTTAAAATAAAAACTTGTTAAATGTCATCCAAGATATAACAGTTAGTCTCTTTCCCTGGAGGGACAGGAAGGAGACTTAGGAACTGGACTACAGGGCTTGGTGGCACCATGGGCCACTTTTGTCAAAAGACCAAAACTGGATGGCCGGGGTCACTATGAGTCCACGGCACATAACAACTAAGCGTAGATGAGTAGTTTATGAGCTAGCGAGTCTAAGTCAAAAGCAGTGAATTTGCATGGGTAGAGAGTGGAAGGGTGATACAATATGAAGACTGTAACCATTGTCATTGAACTGTACATTCAGAAATGATGAATGGGCTTATGATGTTTCATGATGTTTTTTTAAGCTGTCTCAAAACGTTTAAGGCTACTTAATAGAATGTGGAGTTCTGAAGGGATGAGTGGGGGTTAGGATTTCAGGATTTTATGGGAATTGTTTTCCCCCTGAAAAACAATTCTAAGACCCTTTGAATGAAGAACCTTCTGTGGCCTGGGTTACAGTGATTCCTGACAGTTGCCTAGATTTCAGATCCTTGCTTAAAATTTTAGAAATTAGTGAATTCAGGAAAATGAATTCAGAAAGGAGATAAACAGAATGTTCTTTTTCAGAATTGCTGGGAGAGCCATAACTTTCTTTTAAATTATGTGTTACTTTGCTTCAAGAATGACAGGGTCAGAACAAGATTCTAGAACATTGTTCAACTGTGTAGATTGACTTGCTTTATATGTAAATACAAGGAGCTTTAAAAAAGGTTCATGGAAAAATTGCATTCTCTTTCTGTTTCATTTTTACAAGAAGGTTTTGAAGCTCTCTTGTATGAGTGTAAGGAGCCATGGTGGCACAGTGGGCAGAATGTTGGGCTTAATTACAAGGCGAGCCACTTGTCAGGAGAAAGATGAGCCATCTGCTCCAGTAAAGATTTACGGTCTCAGAAACCCTAGGAAGCACTCCGACTCTAGCAGAATTGACAATAGTGGTTCTGGGTTTTGTGGTCCTAGGCATCTTCAGCAAAATGTGAATAATCAAAGTGTAGGCAAATGAAGTTGGGTATTTGTTTAAAAGCCTAGTGTTTTTATCCTGTGTAGGACAATTGTCTATACTCAGAATGAGAACAAGAGGTTTCGAGTAGAACTGAAGGGTAATTTTTATATAGCCACTTTGTGTGGAGAGTTAGAAATATCATATCCCCCACTCCCAAGACTTACAGTGTTCATCCAATATAGGGTTGCTATGAGTCAAAACTGACTCAAAGGCACTTACCAATCATAGTAGGAAACAAGTAACTGAGAGCATCAATACTTTAGCCAAAGAAATGTTTTCAAATACAGTATAGCTTTATTATCGTGGTGGCTCTAAGAGATAAGCACTAGACTGAGCCACATGGTTGGCAGTATAAGCTCACCAGCCACTCCTGAGGAGAAAGATGTTCTCTGTTCCCACAAAGATTTATAGCCTCACAAACCTTTTACATGGTTGCTATGAGTCGGAAGTGACTCAATGACACTTTGCAACATAGCCTTCTTAATTGTGGATTTTATATTTCCTTCCAACTAGAACTAAGCAGAATTCATCCTTTTTTAGGAGAACTGGAAGTATGATGAAATCATAAACTTTGAATATGGTGATTAAGCTGTGTATAAAATATTCAAGTCTATGTACAAATAGAATCTCATCACATGTGGATTACTAATGTTTAAATTTTTAAGTCTCAAATATATTGTCACAAGTTCTTTGTTAAATGATTAAAATTTTCAAATATGTTGATTATTAGATCTTTTAAACACCTAATATTTTTGTTTTCATGGAAATTTTGTTAAAATTAAAATTCTATTTGAATTAAAAACAAAAACAAAAACGGAGGCAGCCTAAATGCCCATCAGAGAAAATGTAAGTAAAAAAAGTATATGCACCAGAATTTTGGTATATTGACACAATGGAATACTATGCAAAGTTGAAGAATAATGATGAATCTGCACAACATCTCATAACATGGATGAACCTGGAGGACATTATGCTGAGTGCAATTAGTCATTCACAAAAGGACAAAACTGCATGAGATCACTATTGTAACAAGTTAAGAAAAAGTTTTCTTGATAAAAGAAACATTCTATGATGGTTATAAGGTGGGGGAAGGAAAAAATTATTCACAGGCTAGAGGGTTGTTGTGAAGTGGTTTTGAGTTGGTTCCAACCCATAGTGACCCTGTATAGGGTTTCCAAGGAGCAGCTGGTGAGCTTGAACTGCCAACCTTGCAGTTCAAACAGCTTTGCAGTCTGGCGCATTAACCCACAGCGCCACACCAGGAATCTATCACAATAGTAGGCCAGGGTAAACAATATCCACAAAACTGTCAAACACCTTAACATTGTTTCCCTTCCTTTACCCATTCAGACTGTGTCTCGATCCCTCTAACACAGAGCCCTGTTTTCCCAGGCTGTGCATGCATCACACTCTACCTCTATCCCATTTGGCACATGCATACCTCCCTAAGTCTATCCCTATCATTCCTGTTCATCTACTCTCTCCCCCTTTTTGTGCATTGCCCTCCCCTTCCTTTTTATTGTCCTTTACCATCATCACCGGAGCTATCAAGTGTTTAGTCCCTAACCTGTGAGTTACTAACAGTAACAATGTACATTTGCAGAGAACTTAAAAAAAAATGCATTGGGCTTTGGTGGTGCCTGTCTGACCACTAGCAGGTTTTTCTTTGCTGGCAGAGCCCAAATTTGGTGACAACTCCATCTCCTCTCTCCAGTTGTCTAAAGCAGTCATGGGGATCCTATTTCCCTTGCAACTGAGTTTGGAAAAGGCACGTGAGTCAATCCTGTGACAAGTATCTTTTGGGGGGCTTCTAAGTAAGGTTTCCTTGCTGTTTAAAAGAAACATCCAGAAAAAACAGTCTTTCTTCTTCTTCTGGAAATGATTTCTTTTTGGGAGATCCAACAACCAACTTTTGACAATGAGAGAAGCTAGCCAAAGCAAGTCCAATGAGCCAAAGAGGCAGAGGGAACCATGACAATACCCTGGGCCCTTTATGACATCATTGGGTCACAGTATTACCCACCCCTGGAGCTTCCTGTTTTGTGGCCATCTAACCATGTGAGAACTACAGTGTCCCTGTTGTTTTAGCCAACTGAGTTAGGCATGTGTGATTAACAAAGTTGAAAACACCCTAACTCATTCATCAAGCATCCGCTGAACATTTTTGGGGGGAAAAGGCATGGGTGTCCAGCCCTGGGAATTCAAAGAGACATAAGATACATCCAACCCAGAAGGGCCTTATAAGCCAGTAGGAGTCAGGAACCAAAGACAGAAAGGAAAGGTTCCAGCTATAGAACCAAGGCTGGCTGAGTGTACAGACAATCACTAGGTGGGTGTTGAGATGCGAGAAGTGAGAAAATGTAGGGTAGTCAGTCATGCAAGGCTTCTAAGGAGCACTCTAACTGAAAGAGTTTCTATGATTTCAATTTTTCTTAAAACTGTGATTTACATATAGAAATTAAGAAAACCTAATACTTAAAATAAAGTATATCTGAAGTAGGCTATTTAGACCTGTTTGCAGTCCCATTCTAAAGACAAACATAATGGTGACCTTTGAAACAAGTGCAGGAATCCAGGCGATGGAAACCCCCCATTGAACACATTTCACAGCTCAGAAGTTTCATTTCACACCAACTTCTGAGCTGAGATTATAAATGTCAGATGAATACAATGCCTGTGAATAGTTACAGCCACATCACAAATATTAGATAAAAGTGAAGTTTCTCAGCCTTGGCACTATTGACATTTAGAGTCCAAAATCAGCATTAACTGTAGTAAGGCTGACCTATGCATAATGGTCCCTGGGTGGGACACATGGTTTACTCTTAACTGCAAACCTAAGGTTCAAGGTTCAAATCCACACAACAAATACCACAGAAGAAAAGCCTGGTGATCTGCATCCATAAAGATTACAGTCTAGAATACCTTATGGAGCAGTTCTACACTGTAACACATATGGTTACCATGCATCTAAACCAATTCAACAACAGTAGCTTAGGTGTGGTTTGGTTTGGGTCCTGGGCATTGTAGGATGGTCAGCAGCATCCCTGACCTCAACTCATTGGATGCCAATAGCCCTCACTCCTATTAGAACTTCAGTTAGAACAGCCCAAAATAACTGAGGACACTGCAAAATGTCC